TGATAAGGACAGAGAGCTGGAGGAAAGGACAAAAAAAAATTAAATATGAGGAGGGAAGAGCCCTGGTCTGTGTTATCAGCAAACACACAAACATTCCACACCCAGAGCTGGGGTTACAGCCCTGCTCCCTCTCTGCTCCAGGCATGGACAGGACAGGAGGGACTCACTCCCTGCTGGGTTTTGGCATCATTGTCCTGATGGGCCATGGCAAATCCGTGTATTTTACAATAAACATCACAGCCTGTCCATAGCACTTCCATTTCCCAAAACATTTCATTCCCCCAAAGATTTTGGCTTAGAAGGATAAAAAATCCACCTCCCCAAGGCACTTAAGAGAAACCCCAGCTTCTGTTTTCAGATATAAACCCTCATTGGTGTGGAACAATTTCCTCAAATCTCTTTTTCTCCCAACAGGCAGAGATTCAGCAGGAATGTCTCAGCTCCAGCAATCCCACCKGGAAAAGATCCTGCTCTGCCTGGGMTKTGKGACYTTGTGGCTGCAAAGGGGCTSCAGAGACAGAGCACCGAGCACAGGAAGGGTCAGGTAAAAATAAAAAATGAGTGCTTTTGGAGCACTGAGACAGCAAAGCTCAGAGGGGCTGAGCAGGGGAATGGAGCAGGAAATGAGCCTGAGCCGAAAACCATAAAACCCTAAAACCCTAACCCTAAAACCCTAACTCTAAAACCCTAACTGTAACGCTAAAACCCTAACTCTAACCCTAACCTTAACCCTAAAACCCTAACCCTAACCCTAAAACTCTAACCTTAACCCTAAAACTCTAACCTTAACCCTAAAACTCTAACTCTAACCCTAAAACTCTAACCTTAACCCTAAAACTCTAACCTTAACCCTAAAACTCTAACCCTAACCTAAAACCCTAACCCTAAAACCCTAAAACCGTAACCCAGAGCTCCCCTGCACCTGAGCACAGGCACCACTACCAGGGGGCTTCACTCAGTGCCATGGTGACAGATTTGGGATGTTCCTGTCCAAATCCTCCTACAATCAGAACACAGCATCTCTGATATCACCCTGAGGCCCACACAGCAGCACTGCAGCTCCTTGTCCAGCTTGGCTGCTTTGTGTTTTTACAATATTGTTTTTAAAGTTAAGGTTGAAAAAATAAAAGCGTGTTTGCAGTGTAAAGGCCATTAAAGCATCACTGACTGTCAGGGCTTTGGACAAACAGGTTCTGTGAGTTTTGTGTGTGTAAAAGTGCCATCATTCTGGCTGTTGGTACAACACATTCCATCTGCAGAATTCCTGTCTCTGATGGGGAGAGGGGAGAACTTGCAGGGGACACAGAGCAACATCAGAACCCCCAGAATCTCTTTGCTCTGCCTTCACCAGAGCTTTCCTGACTGAAATGGGAACAAGGGACACATCCTGTGCCTTGGAATTAGGAAATGTGGCTGGGGAAGCTGCAGGAGGGACCCACGGGTTAAACACAGCACCCTGTGACAGGGACAGAGCTGGAGCTGAGCCTGACATCAGCTGAGCTGAGCCTGACAGAGAGAGAGGAGGTGCAGTCCAGCCCTTCTCCTGTAAGCCGAGCTTATCCCAGGGCAGGGGCAGAGCCCGGCTCATCCAGGGTGGAGCTGTGGGATCCTGTCCCTCCGTGCCCCTTGGCTCTTTGTTGCCAGGCACAAGTAAYGTGATTTTTTCAGTTAGTCACRYTCATTTCTCRCCCTGTTTATTCCTTCTAAGATCCYCARGTCCTTCTGGGAGGTTTTGAGAACTGAGAGAGCAGACAGGAGCAGTTTCTGCTGTGATTCCCRGTGTTTGAACTCCCTCAGCATCCCCAGGAATCCCAGTCAAAGGCACAGCCAAGACATCCCTCAAGTTGTTGAGGTAAATCTGTGCAAACTGAGCTCTGATTCTGTGAGCTCTGAATCTGTGGCCACTTCCCAGCTGGTGACCCCACACATCTGGGGGTTCCCGTGCTTTTCTCACACAGAAATTTAATCCCATAAACCCAAGGCTTCTGGGGAAATGAGACAGCAGAGCTGGGGGAGCCCTCACCCCGTTTATTAAAGCTTTGCACACTCTGAGCAGATGCAGGCAGAGTTTCATTTCCCTGACTTTAATCCTCTCCTCCGCAGCACCGGGGCACCCGCGGACACGGCGTGGGTGTCCTGACAAAACACAGGATGCTGTTTTTTCCTTCMCAGCCACACCACACACCGAGCAGCTCCCCGGCTGCCTGCCTGATGATGCAAGCAGTGAATAAGCACGAATAAAGACACAGAAACTGGGTGTTGTTTGTAGAAGTGAGGAGCAGAGCCCTCCACCCAGCGCTGGGGATACCAGAGCTCTTGCACAACTCAGCTCTCAGGCTGCTGCTCCTCTTTTTTATGCATCTCTGTCTCTGTGTGCACTTTTTTCACCAGGAGCACTCGGGAAGTTTTCCTTTTCTTTCCTTTCCTGCCAGCCTGTGAGCAGCAGAGCTGGGATGGGAAAGTTTTCCTTTCCTTTTCCTTTCCTTTCCTTTCCTTTCCTTTCCTTTCCTTTCCTTTCCTTTCCTTTCCTTTCCTTTCCTTTCCTTTCCTTTCCTTTCCTTTCCTTTCC